TGTAATTTAGCAGAACTTGATAAACTGTTTACATCATTTTGCACTGTATTTTTATTTTTTTTTAATCCAGGGAAGATGTGCTTGAATGGAAGAGATTTTATTGATTTATTTATTTATTTGATAATTAGTCTAGCAAAAGCTAATCAAAAATCTAAGGTGAAGACAGAGATGGTTAAATGAGGATTTTCATCCAGAAACAATGGCTACCTGGAGTATGTCTTTGCTATAAAAGTACTCTAAGCTGAGCACTGTGGTTCAAACATGAGCATCTATCTAAGGCTGTTTGGATTTTTGTTACTTCCAGCTGAGCCAATCCTCTATTTAGTAAGCCACCCAGGAGATTCCTGAAGTTGGTTCATTATGCCAGACTGAGATCCTTTTAAAGCAGTCTGTTCTCCTGGCCACAAACAGAAATTATGAGAATGTACTTGAGAACATTTAGAATATGAGGTGTTGGATGCGAGCTAACAAGTGACTTAAGAAAGTGCTGAGATACTGGAGTGAAACATCTGAAAACCCAAAAACTTGCTCAGTTGTTTCTTTATTTTGCTAGGTAGTCTTCTGCCTGACTCAGTTCCTTAAACATCTGAGGCCATGCTCCTTTCATTGCTCTGTAAGTGATTTTATCTGAGTATTTTGGTGGTCACATTCATATCTGTGCCCAGGCTACAGACAGGAGCCGTGTGTTTCTTTGTTGTTGTAATGTGATTTGTTCCCAAAGCCTCACATAGGCTATGCATGAAAGGGACTCATGGCTCCTGTTTTTCAGACACGTGGTGGTAGTGCAGCTTCTTGTATTCAAAAACTTAAAATTCAGTTCATGCTGTGGAAAACCAGCAGTAAATCAGGTGAGTGTCTACAGTCTTCAATATCTGACTGGAGAGGACAGTAAAAACTGCACAGCAGAGGCACAAGTTAATAAAACCAGATATTGAATTATTTCCAAGACAGAGATAAGGTTTATTAGCTTGGATATAATGCTGTGAAATGGTTGTTCTTCTGACACTGAATTAGTTTTCACTGAATAAATTTGGGTTCTTATGGGCATTGTTTCTCTCTGGCCTCATCTTCAAGGACCCCCAGTAAGGATTTGAGTGGAAAATGCAGGATGAGCATCTACAAAAATGGACACTATTGGACAAATGTTCTTGCTAAAAAACTAGGAAAAGTTTAATGATTCAGGCCAAAGCTGGTATCTCTAGATGCTCCACTGCAGCTGTGTATTGCCAATTGGATAACATCCCTGTGTTACACCTCTGAGTGCAGCCATGTCTGTCCTTCAAAGCACTTATCTCTGGTATTGAACTACTTGTACCTGGTGCTTCTGAATAACATGACTGTACTTTCAAATATGATGACCTGAAACATTGTGGTTATAGTAGTCTATAACCATGCTAGGTGTTTTGTACTTTGGTTTAAATTGCCAGGTTTCCCGTGACTCAGTCCATTCAAGTTTTGGCAATTCCAGGTGAACAAACCTGCATGCACACACACAGGTCTTCTTTGAGATATTATTAACAAGAATTTAGAGGATTTATTGCAGCATGCCTGCTTGATTGGTAAACAAGTTTGTTCAGGCTATAGTTTTGAATCTCATCCAACTTTTTTTGTTTACAGAAATGATCTCTCAGCTTCCACTTAGGCAGTAATTTAACATTACTTTCCTTCAGCTATTGATATCTATCATTGTATAAAAATCACTGTTTTTACTTGTCTTCCTAAAATACAATAACCTGCTCTACATCCATTCTATATTGAATCAAGTGAGATTCATAAAACCTTTGACCAGGTGCTGACATTGACGGTCAGTTCAGTAGGGTATAAACACATACACATACATACATCCTCCCCCCCTCTTGTGATGGGCCTGGCCCATGAAGCATTTGAAACCACAGGTTCAGAAGGCCTTGCAAAACCTTACTACTCCCTTTTTAATGCTCCTCTGATTGCACTGAGCCACTTGTTAGCATGAGGAAAACTTGCTGTGTATCCACTGGTAGAGTACAAGCATCAGTTGAACTTGCATGTGCTGAGATACTGCAGAAGAGCTACATTGTGGTATGACACCCTCTTCACTGACAGGGCCAGGCTATACCTATCTCTTCCCCAGTCTAGGCTCAGAAGGAGGGACAATGAACAATGTCTGGGTTTAACCATAGACAGAAACCACGAGTCTGGAGCCTGTGAAGTGTAGAAGTGGTCCCAAGTTACAGAATCATAGAATCAGCTGGGAAGAGACCTCTGAGATCATCAAGTCCAACCCTTGATCCACTACTGCTGTGGTTACTAGACCACGGCACTAGGTTCTGACATTACTGTTGCTCTGTGTTGCCTGTTATAGCATCTACTAATAATTTGCCTGGATTTTAAAAGTAATAGTCCAGGAAAAGGCTGATATCTTGCTCTCACAACATGAACTTGCCTCAGAGTGAAAAATGTGACATTCAGAAACATGGGTAAAGAAGGGTCATTAGACAACAATACCCCAGGGCTTATCTTAATATTTTAAACATGTTATTTCTGGGAGTTCTCTGAGAATTAGGTAGTGGTTGAGGAACTTAAACTATAGATGGAGGTGCTGAGGGAGGTAATAGGGCACCTACCTCACCCTTAGTCCCGAAGGACAGCCTCTCTGCCAGTCTACTGCAATAACTGTGAGTACAGTGGAGATCACTACACCTTAGGGAAATTTAGCTTGATTGTAACAAAAGCAATGTGATTATCTTAGAGCTGGGCTGCTACATGTGCAGGGAAGAATTAGATATATTTTAAAATAAAATAATACAATATTAAAGAAAAACATGACATTAAAAATTGACTTAAAAATAAATCTCTCAAAATTCCACTCTCTGAAATTTATTAAAGAAAATTGAATTACTCTGGAGTCTGTATCCTGGTCATCCTGTTGCTAACATCAATTCAATGTTAGCAACAAAGACTGAAGCTAATCAACTGGTTCATTTTGCCCCATGCTTTTCTGTACTGGACAGTCATGTTCTATATAGCATTTAACACAGACATCAAGCATCACTTTAAAACTGACCACATAGATCTTACCTCTTGGTTCTGGAAAAAGGCTCTCCTGGAGCATTACTGCTTAGCAGCAGCTGTCACCTTCTAATTTCCAGTTTTCAGTCCTGAGGAGTTTACTTGCCTTTGTTCTCGAATCAAATGTATCCTCTTTGCTTATGGTAGCCATGTAATCCCTTCCACAATCTGCAGTCCTCCACAGAGACACACTGTTCCTTCTTGTAGCCCTTCTCTGCACCTATTTCAATTGGCTTCATCTGCATAAGAGTAGTTGACCCAAATTGTGCAGAGTTGTATTGGGTTTGCATGACCAGGTTTCAGTAGTGAGGAGCTACAGGAGGGCCTTCTGTGAGAGATTACCAGAAGCTTCCCTTGTCTCCAACACAGCCAATGCCAGACGACTCCAGGATGGACCCATCACTGGCCACGGCTGAGCCCCTTAGTGACAGTGGTAGTGCCTCTGGGATAATGGATTTAAAAAGGAGGGGTTGGGGAGGGTGGGGAACTGCTGTGGAAACAGCAGCCAAAGAGAAGAGTGAGAACATGTGAGAGAAACAGCCCTGCAGACACAAAGGTCAGTGAAAATGGAGCAGGAGGAGATTCTCTAGATGCCAGAGCAGAGATTCCCCTCCAACACATGGAGGTCCATGGTGGAGCTATCTGCCTGCTGCCCCTAGAGAACCCCATGCCAGAGCAGGTGAGTGCCCAAAGGAGACTGTGATCTGTGTGAAACCTGTGCTGAAGAAGGCTCCTGGCAGGACCCATGGCCCAACAGAGAGAAGAGCCCATTCTGGAGCAGGTTTGCTGACAGGACTTGTGACCCCATACAGGACCACACTGGAGCAATCTGTTCCTGAAGGACAGCACCTCATGGAAGAGACCCCACACTGGAGCAGGGGAAGAGTGTGAGAAGTCCTTCCCCTGAGAAGGAAGGAGCAGCAGAGACAACCTGTGATTAACTGACTGCAGTCCCTATTTCCCATCGCCCTGCACCACTATGGGGCAAGCAGATAGCGAATTCAGGGATAAAGTTAAGCCTGGGCTGGGGGGAAGGCAATTTTAAAATTTTGCTTTATTTCTCATTATTCACTCTGATTTGATTGGTAATAAATTATTTTTCCCCAAGTCAAGACTGTTTTCCCTGTCACAGTAAATGCTGAATGATGTCTCTTTCTCCTTATCTAGACCCATGAGCCTTTTGTAATATTTCTTCTCCCCGTCCAGCTGAGGAGGGGAGTGACAGAGCGACTTTGGTGGGCACCTGATATCCAGCCAGGGTCAGCCCACCACAAGAGTATCACTATTTATATTTAGGCATTGGTAGCTGGTGACAGAGACTAAGAAATAGCAATTTGCTATCTAATATAACTTTTATTCAAAATATTTATAGCAATAACATTTATTTCTTACTATTATTCTGAAGTGAAAATGCTCCATTTCAGATTTGACTGTAGTGTATTTACTGCAGAAGAAATAAGTAATTCAGTTGGTATTTCTAAAAATATAATTAGTTGATGAGTCAGAGAAGAATTTCATTTTCATAAATGTTAGGGCTGGAAGACTGGGTTTATCACGATCAGCGTGTCTGACCTGTGACTGCGTCATGTCTTAGGAGTCTGCCTGGTAATTCTTGCGTCAGTTTGTACTTAAGCTGGAATATTGTTCGGACAAGACAGAATAAAGGGCCCAAACCACATTCTTGCAATGTACTGAATGTTATTTCACACAAACAAACAAAAGGTACACCCCACAGACAAGCCTGAATATGGTGATTCATCATTTTAATTAAAAAATTGAAGACCATTAACATTTACTAATAGGCTAATCTCTGATAACTCAGCGCAAACTTTTAGAACATCATACATAACCATGAACCAATAAGTGTGTGTATATGTATATGTATATGTATATGTATATATCTGTCTATATACATAATGCAATAAAACATATTTCTATTTATGGGAGTCTAAGCCTTACCAAGAACTTGTATTAGCCATGTGAGATTAGTAAATAGAAAAGAAAGCAGTTGGGATAAAATGAAAAGGCATAAACTCATCAAAATCTAGAATGCAATAAAAAGCATGGAAGAGGAAACTGAAAACCAAAAATGAACACCACGTAGAGCAAAAGATAATATTTTATTGACTGGAAAACAGATTGCTATGTACTTGTTGGTCAGTCATTATCTGTACCGATCTTATGCCACTGCAGTTCAGCCTTGGCTTAGCTATGCACACATATTCTTTTTTTTAAGTCTTTTTTTTCAGTCTCCTATCTAAAGTAATGGCTGTCTTCACTATGAATAAAGGCCACTCAAGTCAGCCAAAAAATTCTATGCACTTAAGGTCGGAGTCTAAAGAAGAGTGACTTAAAGACATGCTAGATGAAGACTCAAACAGTGCTGAGCAGTGCAGAACCTACTATTCTTAACATCACTGCTCCATTCACAATGGCCCAGTACATGAACCAGGCCACTGTAACATATAGTATGGAAAAAGGAAGAAGATATATGTTTGTAACACAGCTCTAGATGACCTTTAATAATAGACAATTGAGTGTTGAAGCTTAGCAAGCAGATAGAACCTTCTTGAAGCCAACTACCTAGAAACCAGGACCTTGTACTGCAAGCAAGAACTGCCTAACTTGCAATGACAACATTACTAATTCTTGACACACTATTGGCAACTACATGTGGCACATGGTAACATGAATTGAGTATTGGTTCTGGAGAACCAGGCATTTCAAGAAAAAAGATGGACTATGAATCAAAGACCTAGCAGAATTGAAATGGTAAGGCCATTAACAGGGCTTTGATCGCTGTCAAAGAAGCTTTGAAGGGACAAGGTTAAAGGGACAAATGTGAGTGTGCTCTTGTGTCTGCTAATTAAAATGTACACTTTATGCATGTATTTGAAGGCCTAGTGAAGACAATGGAGAAAGAGTCCTAAGGTATATTAGCTATGGGAAAATGTACATTAGCACTATTCAGTCTTGGGCAATCCTCACCTCTTTTTTCAAAATATGAGTTTATTTATGTTCTAGAGCAACTATGTCTGAAAAATTAAGCACAGTTACCCAATTTTGGGAAAGGAACTGTGTTGTAGTGTTTTGAATGCCTGAGGACTATGTTTTTGAGGAGCAATCGCAATCCCAGTAAGAGGAGGAAAATGACCTTTTTTCCCCTTTATCTAGCCCTGGAAGGAGCATCTCTGACTCAGTGGCCCTCTCTGTGGAAGCATCTCCTCCTCACAGTTTCTGCCTGCTTTGTCAGCACCTTTTTGGCCTAAAGTGTGGACGAATATAATATTTATGAGTTGTTCTCATTGATTTTATGATCCAATAGAAAAATGTACATGCCTAGCTCTCCATGCCCAAGTCTGCGTCTGTAAAACAATGTTAATGCCTCATCAATATTCATATACCATACAGACTTTTCACAATCCTCCTTGGTTTCATGGGAGATGAAAGGTAAATTTTTAAGCTTCTAACAGCAGAGTGCAGTGTGTTACAAGGAAAACATAATGTAGTTAGATTTAAAATATATGTGAATCTTTTCTGCATAATTTTCTTAACCAGTATGGGGCTGTTTATATTTTTTTATAAGCAGTTATAGATATTATAAAATTAAACTGCTGAGGGAAAGTTACTTGAATGACTAAATAACTGTTACAACTTTTATGTGGTTTTCTTACAGCAGAGTAATGAACTGTGTTGTTACAGAGTGAGAATAATGCAGCTGTACAGCTTTCCACAGAACTACGAAGCAGAGGCACATTCATGGCAAAGGATGTCATCCTGCCGAGTGAGGAATTCCCTGCTCACCAGTGAGACAGAGCATTTTGCACAGTTAAAGCATTCCCCGTGCCACTGACGCTCTTCAAATGAGATATATTTGGCACTTCCGAGAGCTGAAATAGATTATGAAAAAGATATGAATCCAGTATTTCTGAACATGGTTCAGAAATGTAACAGATTGCTTTCTGATGTGTGATCAGGTTGTCATGCATACAGTGAACAAACAAATGAACAAAAAATCCATAGTCTGAAATATTCTTTGTTGACTGAATTGAAAAAAAACCCATAACTTTAAATACAGTGAGAAGTATTGTAAGTAAAGCCACAAGTCACTTGCTTGCTTGCATATTCCATTATGAGCTCTGAACACAATGGTTTTATCAGAATGTTCGCTCAGATTTGCTGATCTTCCCAACAAACTCTTATGAAAATTATTTGCAATATGCTTATACATATAGTTTCTATACAAGATTTAATGAAATTTATAATTTCCACCTAAGTTTCTTCAAGATGGAATCTTTTGGAAATTACCAGATCATGGAATTCCTAACACAAGTATCTGAAATAAAATCTCAAGGTTTGTGGGGATTTGAATGTTTTTGATTTGTTAGTTGTTGTTGTTTTGTGTTTGTTTGGATTTTTTTTGTAAAATCATGCACATTTGATTGGGTAATCATCGTTTTCTTTGTCCACTGACATATGCAGCATGCACCTGTAAGAATCAGGCAGTATTTTTTTCAAAAGTTTAGTCCACACATAATAGAATTACAATGCAGAACACCAGCAAATGCTCTCAGAAAACTTCAGCTGTCATAGACTAGTGACATATATGTCTAATTATAAATCATCTAAGTACAAAAGGATGCATGTGATAGAGCTTTGTTGCATTTGGCAAGCTTTCTAATTTGACAGGTGTGCCTTACCAGCAGGCAATTAATCTGTGTTCAGCTTGATCACATTTGCATTTAAAAACAAAACTGAAGAAATTACAGACATGAGGGACTTGTGCGTACTGTCCTGGGAAGAGCAAAAAAAAAGCCTTTTCTTATATTTTTAAGGAGGAATTTTAGTGCAGAATCAAATCAAATGATGGAGGAACTCCTTTCGGCACATAAAACGACTCCTCAGCAGTTAGGGAACATGTGTAATCAGCATGTCCTAGCAAGGTATATTACATGTGATACAGAGTGTGTCTCTCTAGTAGTGAACTCCTTCAGTCTTTCATTGTGATGAGACTATTTTTTAATGGTGTTTTCTAAAGTAAAGCTTTTGGAAGAGACTGATGATTCATCGCTGTCTAGTCCCCTTTAAAAGATGAGACTCACCTGTAACAGGTTTCTTGCAAGCAGCACACTTCTTTGCATACAATTTGCTGAAACAGTCCACACAGTATGGGTATTCATCTTTGGAAATAAACCTTTGTCCATACAGCTGGGTTTTACACCCAGCACAAACAAAACATTCTTTATGCCAAGGCTGGTCATGGCAGGTCACGCCTCCAGAAGTTATTACCTAATGTATTGACAAAAAAGGATAGAGCAATGAAACAAAGGTGTGAATCAGGAAGGATTGTCCCATCCTTCAAAAGTAATTCCACTTGTTTTCTCTCTTCCCATATGCACAAGAGGTGAGACTGTGGTCACATCAACTGTTTTTCATCTGTATTTTCAATTTGACTAACTGCAGTTGAGCTCAATGAGCTAGTGGTTTGTTTTTCAATTTTCTATCACAATATAGCCTCCAAATTTGTAATAATCATGTTGTCTTCTAATGAAATTTTTCTGTTTTATTGTAGATAAAGGTTTAAAATCAGGGATGCTCTCAGAAGAGAAATTCTCAGTGATGGTCAGTGGGTGAGAGAACTGATGCTGAGGTAACGGTTAATCATCTCCAATTGGAACTGGTATTTTGCTGTCTCACAATTGAAACAGTATTTTAAATAGGAAGAAAGACAGTAAAGAAGTATAAGCAAAACAGAGATTTACACTGTTAGAAGAAGAAAAAATGGTGTTTAGCAGTGTCATCAACTTTCATTCCCAGCCACTCACTCACAGCTCTGCACTGGTTAGTTCTGAAGAGGGAAATTTTCAGTTTTTTATGGCTCCCATATGTGTGGTAAAGAGCTGATTTCACAGAAGTTGTGAGAGACTGTACAGAAGAAATTCTATAAAGATGAGTTGTAAGGTAGTGTTTCTACTGTCAAATCACATGCATGACAGCGAATGAATGAATGAATGAATGAATGAATGAATACAGTTGGAATAGGAGGAGAAAAAGTTGGAGAAACTTAAGGAGAAATAGTGCTATCATCAAATTTCCCTGGGGAATAGAGTTTCAGGGAAATAAAGAATAATACTGCATCATGTCAAACAATAAAAAGACTTAAATAGTTCCTGATCCCTTTAATATTCCAGTTTTGGGCTATTCCAAAGTCACGTTTGCTTTTCCATTAAAATCTAAAAATCACTGGCACAAAATTCAAGGTTTCAGTTTGGCAATTTAATCACTTTGGGCTCAATTCGCATTTATGGGAACTGATGCAAGTTTAAGAAGTACAATTGTTTCAGCTATTATACAGGGGGACACTTTGCATTCCTAGAATTTTTAAGAAGCAAATCTTGATTATTTCACATTGGTGCTGCTAACCTCAATGCCTCTAATAAACATCAAACATAATTACTATAATTGCCATGTGATCATTTAATACAAATTAAAGGCTAGATGTAGAGACATGAAAATATATAAAAGTACTTTCAAAAGTTTAACTACTGAAGAAAAAAAAACAAGTTTACAGGTAAACATTAAATAACTGCATAAATTATAAGTTATTTGATGAAGTGGAAAAAAAAAATCTGTTTTGCTTCCAGAGTGATAGAGGTACTAAAGAATAAGTTAAATTCTGCCATAAAAAACAGCTTAAAACAGTTCCCTAGAAAACAGTATCACGTTAGTTATGATGAATAGTATGATGAATAGCTAGTATGATGAATAGTATGATACTCTGAGTTTTTTTATCAAGTAGAGACAATTTTAAAACATGCGAAATCAAGGGAGGGAAGAACTGATTTATTTGTACTTGGGGGAAAAAAGAAAAACTCATTTGAAATCAAGCTTTCTGGTAGCAACAGGGAAAGTGTCATGTATTGAAGCAGTGGGACTCTTGACTACTGTTATAACAGTTGAATGTTACTTGAGCTGATAATTGCCTGATACATTTCAAGGAAAAAAAAGACAAGACTGTGGATGCCTTGCTCAGCTTAGGTGACTTGTACATGTGAACATATGCATAAAAATGATGGAAAGAGAGGCAAGTTTGCCAAGGCAAAAGGAAAGAAGGCTTTTACATAACCTTCTGTTTAACCTTTGCTAAAAATCACAATCAGTAACTAAAGAAGCCCAAAGCATTTGTTTTGGTCAATAAGTGTATTTCAAAGATAATCAGTCTTAGATTAATATTAACCAGAGTTAATATTAATAACAGCTGACACTGTTGCAGTTGGCTTTCAGTGCCCAATGTCAAAAGGAAGACTCTGCTCTTATTCTTAGTTCACCAGATGTTTTATATGACCCAGCCCATTCCACCATGTCTCATTAGGACAGTTTTTACATTACATGTTTAATTACCTTTTTGCAAGAGTAACAATGGTGAGCAAATTGCTTCTCAAAGCAGGGCACGCAGTAATTCTCATTGTCTTTGGTGATTAATGGTTTTGTTCCCAATGGTTGCTGACAATACCGGCAAACAAAACAGGATTCATGCCAGGAACTCCCCTTAAATTCCATTTTACGGGAACCTGAAAAAACCCAAAGTGAACAATCCCCCCCGATACAGCCTTGTAGTATAAGTTTTAAATGTTGAGAATACTCTTGTTTTCAACCTTCGATCTTAGTAGCAGGTTACCCAAGAAAGCACTTATCTTAAATTTAATAGAGCTTCTAAGAATGTACTTGAAATTTCAAGAACATATTCAGATCCATACAATCACCTGGCAAAAGATGTGCTACAATGCCTAAGCTGTGATTTCAAGTCCGTCCTTATAGAATCTTTTGGGGTTTTTTCTTTGTGATTATGCTTCAGTTACTCAGATTTTCTCTCAAGCCAGCCAACCCAGTGATAATGTTCAGATTCACAGCACTTTTATAAATTAGAAATTAATTTCTTGGATGCTTACTACATCTATTATTGTCTTGTCTTTTGTCTTCCTTAACTAAGGCTCCTTCAATTACAAATGCATTATTTATCTTAATTAGCTTAAACTGGCAAGTTTTTAAAAGTAAATATTTTTTCTGTGATGCAGTGTATTACACTGCCTCTTCTTATAGCTCATAATTTCATCCTAGATCAACAGTTTTTGTATCATGTTTAATTAGATGCTTTTGATATAGCTCAAGGACAGAAAGTAGTTCAGTTAAATACCTGTCAGAGGAGTTTCAGAGATTTTATCTCTGTGTACAGGTGTCCTGTACACCTTGAGGTAGAAGCATAAGTCTAAGATACGCACAGAATTTTCCAGTGAATCTCCATCATAACTTCCTTCCCTGTAGGTAGCATTAGATTGCTAAGACAGGTGCAAGGTAATTTACCATCTTGTCCACATGAAGAAGAGAATTGCCAGTATAACAGATTAATCCCACATTACCTATTTCCTGGACTGTGGGGCTAGTGGAGAAACTACTGGTTGTATTCAAACAGAAAAGGTTTGCAGCTTCATCCCAGTGGTTCCAGTGATCAGAAGGCTAACTTTACTGTCTTTGCCTACTAGGTCTTTTCAACTCAGAGCTAGCGAGCTGATGAGAAGGAAGTTAATGATACAGAGAAGGGCTGGTGTTCCCATGCCCCTTCGGTTCTCTGTTTGCACTGTTACCTTCAGGCACTTGCTGCAAGGATTTATACTCCTAGACTCTGGGGCAATACCTGAGACATGAATATACACCAGAAGACAATTATGCAAACCTGAGTAAATTCTGGTACTATTCTCATCACATCTAGTAAGGTGTGCCTATTTGACAACATTTTTGTAAACTATATACCATTTATACAGTATATAGTCTTTAAACTGAACACAACTATATTGCTACAACATTTATTTCCTCTAATACAGCTTTTACCTGTCATGAAGAGGAAATAAACTGTAAAATTACAAATCAGTGTTACAGGTTGAACATGACATCAGTAACCTAGTATTTATACTAAGACAATAATTCTGCACAGCCTGTACCTTATTGTTTGGTATTAGATCTACTGAAAGAGAAAATTCCTTTGTCACTGCAAAATTTACTGACATCCTTCACCAAAAATTCCCAAGCTAGTAGTCATGAGGCCATAGCAGATAATTTGCAGCTGGTATTTAGAGTTATATGCAGGATCTGTAAAATGTTTTGACCACTGAGGGTAGTTATCTGTTCTGAAAGTTGAGTACTTGCTTGCCTAAGCAAGCAGCTTCATTTTTCCACATTCAGTGCTATGGCTTCTCCTAGATGCCTCTGAAGATGTGTCTTTTGGGCAATCTCTCTGCTGTATGAGCTTTACTGGTGTGGTAGCAATGAAAGGCCTAGAGGATGTCCTGAACAAACGTGATCACAAACTGAGAGGCAGTTTAGTGGAAAGTGTAGAATTTTCAAGTTTGCTGATGGCAGGAAGTAAACTTACTGTAAACACAAATGTATTCTTTTTAGCAAAAATGCTGATAATGATTTGAAGGCAGATTGTCATGTTTTGACAGTTTAAACAAAAATATTTCTGAATGAAAGGAATGGTATAAAGAACATAAGCTCAAGGTCTGGTTAATGTGATAGACAAACATGCAGATGTCCTGTCTCATCAGTCACTCCTGCTCACAATAGCTCAGTTTATCTACCTACTCTCACAGAGGGATATGCTTCCTAAGAACTACAACAGAATCAAGGACATAACACGAACTTGTTTTACCCAGTCTTGAACTCTTGATATTTTTTATAAGGATTCATAAGATCTGTTAGTGCTAGATCAGAGGTATCTACCTGCCCTCTCCTCACTACCACGAGCGTACTACACAGAAAGGAGGAGTAGTCATCTCAAAGCTGTACTGAAAATCAAGGACCTTGTAGCTTGCTTTTCCAAGAAAGTGCTCAAAATTAAAAATGCAGCTCTATTTTTCACACAAGGGTCCCTGTTGTCTTACCAGGCATAATAGTCTTCTGGCAGTGGAAACACTTAGATGAATACTCATCAGAGTAGCATTCTGTACACAGCAAGACCTCGTCCTTGGCAGCAAATGGTTTCTCCACCAGTGAGCGACTGCACTTGGCACACTTGAAGCACCTCTCATGCCAGTGGCGGCCTTTGTAGGCCAGATCCTTGGAGAAAGTAAGTTCATGTTAATGAAAACATTTCTTCACAGTGTTTTTATCCTTCAGCTCCTCACAGAATTAAAATAAAAAATGGAGAGCACTGCAGTGGTGACTTGACAAGATGATAGGTGAATCCAGCCAGGGGTGTGCTCAGGAATGATGTAAGTACTCAATGTCATGCTGTTTTGTAGATCTCTTGCAGAGGCCATTAGGAGCTGCTCTAGCAGATACAATGGTCCTTCCTTCCTTATGTAACATCAGAGAGACATTTTTATGGGAAGAATCATTTTATATCTTACAGTTGGCCTTCAAGGGGAAACAAGTTATAAACATTTTTAATATGCACAGACCACCTGACAAGAAGTCCATTCTCTATAGAATTTGAAATGAACCTCATGTATTTTCAATGTTACTTCTTTTTTTTTCCAGCTGACACTGCATAACACTAAAAGAAAGATCACATTATTGCAGAAAACAAATAATTAAAATCTCATTGAGAACAAAGTGATCATTAGGAAGATTTAAAAAAATCACTGCTTTTGTTTACATCTGATATAAATCCTCCTGAAAACTGAGCAGAAAAATGTTTGTTTAAGGCTCAGCAGGCTTAGGAAATGAAAGAGCTAACAGTGTATGTATGAGACCTTGACTAAGAATTCAAAAAAAGACCAAACAGCATATATAATTTTTCCAAGGTTAAAAAAACAAGGCAAAAACAAACCTCAGCCCTCCTCCCCCAAACATAAACCAGCCTCTTCCAGATCTCCTTTATAAGTAAGAAGCACAAAAGGGCACAAATCCAATGTCATTGTTCTCCTTTGTCAAGTGCCCACCTTTTAAAGTGCTAAAAATGAAAGAAATACCATGCTTCATTTCAGGAGGTGCTGAGCACTTAACATTTTAATTTGTTTTAGTTAGCACTCTGAACCTTGCTGGAAGAAGGCTGTCAGCCCAGACCAGCCTGAGGCAAAGACTGTGTAGGAAGGAGGGGAAGAAAGCCAAGCTCTAACACCTTGGCAGAGGTGGGACATTAGCTGTAGATTTCTGGGGGCCGTTTTTCTAGATTACTCTAACCTGTTGCACTCCTTTCTTGTCACCCCTGCTTTTTTCTCACATTTTTTTCCTTCCACTCAGTCCAAATACACAACTTTTTGCGTATGATCTTTGATAATAGTAATCCTGTCATTAATTTTCAATTTTAAAAGTGAAATTATTGAGTTGAAAGCATATGTTTTCCAGGTGAACCCGACTGGTGCTACGTGTTCAGTTTTGCTCTTGCAAAAATGCTGATGAGAGTTTGAGGAGTGTCTAAATCCAAGCCAGCATTTTCCTTGCATGATTCCTGTACTCAGACAATGTGCTCTGAAGTGCTTTGGCTGGGGAAACCTTCCAAGAGACTTATTTTAGTAACTTTCACCGTTTATTTCAAAAGAATGGAGGCAAAGCGAGCATGGAGAGAAGGTGAACACTGCACACTGAAACTGGCAAGGCAAAGGCTTTTTGCTAGGTTTCATCTGAACTTAAAGTCAAGTATATGTGCTTTAAATTGAAATATGTGGTACTGGAAACCCTGTCAAAGACCGCAGAGGAATTTGTATTATTAATTAATATTGTAAGGAAAAGGAAAGTTGAAAGGAAAGCCAAGGTCGGAAACATTGCCACTAACATGCCATCTGTGAGATGAGCAAAGTAAGCATGGAATTAAGCAAAAATTAAAAAATACTTAATTTCCAAAACCACATGGAATGATAAGTAAATTATAAACCTGTTGTCTTTTCAACTTGGCACCTGCATGTCAAAATCTACAGTAAAAGTAATTTATTCAATATACAAAATATTTTTTCAATGGACATTTCTCAGAAATTCCAAAGTTTCATTCAACCTGATACACTGAATTACATCAGCACCGTATCATCTCTCTGGTACTGTGCAGCTTCTGCAGCCAGTGTGTGACTGGAGGTGAAGTCTAGTTGTGGTCCACACACACAGCCTTGCCGTATGCTTGAGATATATATATGGCAGATTTCCTCATCTCTGGTCCCAGAGCTTTCCTATTCTGGGAAAATAGCACTGCTCCTGTGTGTGGATGTACAGCCGCCGTGCTTAGGTCTCCTCAGCAACACAGGGGTATGCAGAGTATTGGATATAGAATCTGCCATTAAAGAAATTGGATTTGTATGTAATTTAACAAAGAAGAAGAATCGAAAGCTAGATGTTTACCTTGGAATTGCACTCAATAGGTTGCTTACACTCTTCACAGGGGTTGGCATACAGGCTGTCATAACATGCAACACAATAAGCGTATTCATCTCTCAATGCATATTTCCTTCCACGAAGAGACTGCAGGCAGTAATGGCAGTCTGTGTGACTGCTGGTCATTCTGTTGGGGTTCTCCACGTGATCTGGAAAGATGGACAAATCATGTAATTCAGTGGATGGCCATTTACTTGGTCAAATAATAAGTAATGCTGCATTACCTGTGAAAGTTAGACAGGCATTTTTTGGTCATTTGCAGTACCCTAGATTTCTTAATGCTGGGTCATTCTATAATAAAATGGTAGCCTTTAACAATGTATTGTATTGTATTACCAACATGATGGGGAACAAGAGGACTGCTTCAGCTTATTCTAATCATGCTAACACTATTTCAGGTCAGACACCTGTAAATGAAGCCATCTTCACATTCTCTGTGTACAGCTACTGGTATTATGAGCATTATCAATTGGATTTTAAGACATGGTTTATCCAGAAATCAGGTAATGGACATAGAAGCAATGATCCCAAAATGAAACCAACTGTGGAGTTATAAAAAGGCCAAAGAGAAGGGGCAAGCACTTTATGGTGTTTTCCTGACTTTCTCTTGATATTCCTGTCTTCTGTTCATTCCTTCCTTTTCAAAGTATCCCCACATCTACCTAACTGAACAGAAGGAAGACAAGGGACTCCAGGATATATGCCTGTTTTTCGCATTATCCCAACTGTGCTGCTAATATTTGGTGGCAATGTAAGGTCACACAAATACCCGTGGACAGCAAAAGAGTAAAATATAAAGAGAAATAAACTAAATCATAAGTCAAACAAAATCATAACTCAGAGAAAATTTCCCTTGTTGTTATTGGAAAAGATTGTTTTTTTCTTACATATTTCTTTATTGCTGGGTTCCATGTTGGCAGTACCAAAATAATGTGAGTTAGTTTATATTTCTGTGCCAAACAAGTGCAGGAAATACCACAAATCTATTGAGAGCCAGTTGTACAAATTTCCCATCCTTCAGTTTTTCAGGCTAAAGAGGCTTGGATAAGTATCCAAACCTCAGCTGCTTATAGATCTGCAATGCTGAATGTTTTAAGGATTGTGGAGATGAAGACTTATTTCAGTCTTCTTGTTGCTGATTGGATCATCAGCACTTTGCTAAAATTGGGTCTTGATTCCTGGAAATGAAGGAAGAAGAAACCAGAAAGTTCACAGTGAAGCAAACCCAAAAACATCTGCTGGACTCGTTGGATTGCACTCTTTGTTAAAATCACTGGATGTAGCTGGTTGCAGGCAGCACCAGCAACCACAAATTTTAGAGGAGTTGAAAACAACTGGGGAAGATCTCCTGAAGTATTTACATATCAGTGACTTTGGGCAGCTGAAATTTTTGCACTTTGAATAACAGTGCTAATTTGTTTGTTTTAACCAGATGCAAAGCCTAAGAGTAAGGAAGAGAAGCATGTGGAGGACAAGATTTGAGGGAGTGCTTAGCTATGACAGAGCTTACCTCTAGTCCACTTAAGAGTTATGCCCTCCTACTTTTCACACACTCGCTGCCTGGCTTATACCCACAGTTGAATTTTAAAAAGGCATTTTATGGGTTTCTGTTTCATAAGATCTAAATTGAAATGGTTGTCCAAACTGTGAGAAAAGAACAACTACTGCAGGTCTCCACCAGCACTGATGCATAAGGTCAGGCATTGACTGACCTATTCTGGGAGATGTAGTGGTAAAATGGTGGAAAGGGGCAGGGAGGGAGGCTATTATACTTGTTTTAGACCAAAAGTAATGACTTGATTGTTTGGCACAAGGTATGGAAAACTTGTTGCTCCTGTAAATTGAAAATTTTTAACATTGAATTAATTTACTGTATTTCTTATTGCCCTTAATATTTTTGCCAACCAAGATAGGGTATAGTAAGGAAATAATCTGTAACTCAGATTAGTGGGAAACATGCTTGTTTAAAAATATTTCAGATGTGTTTTATGTGATATCCTTTGAATAATAGTATAATAGAGTTTGAATCTGGACTTCCATTTCCTGAAGATCAAACAGTAATTCGAGTGTGAAACAAATGAACCCACTTATATGAGAAAATTACTTCCATTGGCTTGTACATTTACACAACATGACATATAAAACCCAGACAGAGCTCAGTGCATCTAGTGCACAATTACAGTCATCATCAAAATCAAGGTTAAGATTTTTTTTATATCAGGGAAGGAGTATAAATTGGTGTCTAAGGAGACAATCAAGGAATGTTTGGGGTTAACTGTGCTCCATATTCAAGGTCATATGACAAGCTTGAAACTAGGTTTCAGAGGAATTTTCATTCCTTTTTCTGTGGAAATTAGAGTTACCAACTGCCTCAGAGGATAACCCTGAGTACACCTTCCTGATCTCCTCCTGAATCAGTACTCCAGCTTCCTAATAGAGTTTCAAATCAGCCTAAAAGTTGCAAAAGCAAAATCCTAGCAGGGCGGAGATAAAGAATTTATGTCACTTATAGTGCCTTTTGTTGCACAAAGCTTACCAACAAATAACTTCACTTATCTGCAGAAACATCTCTGTTTTTTCGTTCTAATGAATGTCAATCATGTTTTAAAGTTATCAAAGAGTCTGCATACAAAATAATTTTCTTTAGAAAGTGATTCTCTTGATTACTTCCCCCCCATCCCTCACTTCCACCCCACCCCCCTCCAGGAACTCAATCTGTTCCAGTAAGCCCAGGTCGTATGCACAAACAAGACCCAGTACTGTAATACCTCAGGAACTTCTGAATTTGTAATATAATTACCCTCCTAAAACCCTATATGGATATGGGAGCAAGGTGCTATTACTTCTGTTATACAGATGACAGTGGTTGCTTGAGAATTTTAAAAAAGTACCCCCAAGACCAGAGGCAAAGCCTGAGGGTGTCCTTGGGTAAAATGTCCTCTAGTAAAATGTTAGAGTTGCCCAAGGCTTCACTTCAGAAAAAGTCTTCAAAGTTTGATCATGATGATATAAGATCATGTTTGGGAATGAAGCAGTGACGGTATGAAAAAGAAGGAAGATTTTTGCAAATCTTTTAGCAAAGGTCTAGGTAGCCTTTGAGAAGTGCTTTTACCATTAGTTAATGCAATAAAAAAAGCAAATCTCATCTCTCCCAGCACCACTTAGCCTTGCTCCAATAAACAAGTAATGGTACGAGCACCACGTAGTTGAGTAGAATGTTTTTCTTGTGCTTTGATCCTAATCTCTAGAGAAATATGTTTACTTTAAGTTTGCTGGAAGCTAGACTCTGTGTTTTGAAGGTCAGTTAAGAAATCTCTGGAGATCTGATGCTATTCACTCTCATGGAATGAAACGCTGACTCCAGCATTCCAGCTGCTAACTCGTGTCCTAGGCACAAGGAAAGATTCTTGTGTGTCTTCATTCCTTGGGAAAAGATGATTTTGTTATTTAAATTGGAACAAAGCTAAATACTGTTGATTTTTATGTACCTAGTAGGCATGGATACATGATATCATTTCTAGTGTTAGAATATTCCAAGGAGGCGCAGAGGGATGTTGTCAAGGACATGAGGATATTGTAACTGGGGTCCCTGGGGTCAAATTCAGAGAATGCAGCAGTCTCATGGTACGAATGATAAACCAGATGAAAATAAAACAACAGAGCTGGCTAGTCAGCCTGCTGTTATAGCAGATTAATATAGACTCTAGCTACAACAAATAGAACAGGGACTTTCTGTAGAGTCAAATTATTTCCTATAAAATGCAGAGCACTAGAAGACTTCCAGTGAAGAAAGCCATAAGAAAATGGCTGTGAAGTTGTGAATCCTGATAAATGTAGAGTCATCAAGAAAAGAATGCTTGTTTTATCACTGGAGCTAAAAAGCACAGCCACAATATTAATATATCTCAATAATTTATCTTGATGTTTTCTAGAAATACATGTTGATCCCCCTTATGTTATATAGGTATAAAAAGCCCAGAAACATTAATACTACTTAGATGGGACTTAATATATACATCTGCTTGCAGATATATACATACAGGTAAAATATTACATCTTTCACTTCATGACAATTCTAATGGATTATTTCCCAAACTAAATATACCTGCCATTGAACTTCACCATCTTTTTCTTTAAGAACATATAATAATTGGAATAAGGCTCCTTATTAGAGAGGCAGAAAGAAAGAAAAATGATGGCAAAATAAATCCTTGGAACAAGACTGAAGGATATAAAAAAACCAATTTGATCTATCATGAGGAGGACAATCCTGCGAGCCACCGGAGGTACTTGTTCATTTTCAGGTAAGTACAGGTTTCTACCTTCTAACATGATTTTGATTATTTGCATGAACTTGCTAACTTCATTTTCGCACCTTTTTTTTTGTGAGAACTGCTGAACAATCGTCACATACCTTTGCAGACATTAGGGATGCTATAATTTATATGTTTCTAAAACTGGCTAGAGTAGCAATAGGAACTAGGGGCATATATTACAAATCAAGACAATTATCTACAGGAAAGCAGAGACAGATGCTAACTTTGAACAAGCTGTTTTATCTCTGTGGCACGGCACAGGTTCTGGAAGCTTCTGAGTGAGTGCAGAGCTCTCACTGATGACATTCTCCTTGAAGCAGCCAAGATGGATGCCAACCAGGATGCTGCTGTAACAATCTGACTATATTGCTTCAAGGTTCACAAGTGAGACCATTTTGGTTGGCTGTCTAGGGAAAGCAGGTAATTTAGAGGTTGATCTGGTAATTTGTACTGAATTGTACTCTGTTTACACACCCCATGACTACAAGCGAAAAGGACAAGAGTTGTGGCTTAGCTAGGGGATCAAGCATCTCAGGAATTCCATAATTTTCTCCTTAATTGGTATTGCCTTCTGCTTTGTTTACACCATGCAAACTCAAATGTTGGTGTAGTCATCTAAATAATTTCTTTTACTTTTTTTCTGATATAATTCTTACCCACATTTTTTGCAGGTTTTCACATAGTGTGGTAAAGCCAGTTTTCTCCTGTGCTCATTATGGAACTCATTTCTTTCTGACTGCTGTCAGATTTATGGAATAAAATGAAGTGATGAAATACTTCAGCTGTGCATTGGTGTACCTTGTAATGTAAAATCCTGTCAGTATTCTCAGTCA